CTCTTTCCATCCCTTTCCTTGTTTATTTGGGTCGTGTTCGGTAGGTATGCCTTTCTACTGACCTAAACCGCGGCAATTGCAGCTGAAATTGATAGCCTACTGATCCAAAACCACCCTTTAATGCACAACCACTTTTGCTCTGTATTGCCAGTTTGCACATGTTTGAACTGGGTTTGAACTCCGTTCTTTTTACTCCTTGAATCCATCTTCTTACTTAACACCTCTCTCTATATTCTTTCCACACCTCCTTGTTTTCGAGGTATAAAATAAACAGTTTGACTCCTATATGACTCATAATCATGGGTTTAGGATAGAGGAGGACACAAGTAGGGCAACGCTAAGATTTGTATCTTATAGTATTAGGTTAGCTGTTCCACATCTTACACAATTTTTTGTTACTTTCCTTTCTCTTTTCACGCTTATTATTTTAGGCCACAGACCCCGTAAGTCGCTTTTATTTTGCCTGCTGTCCTAACACCACCAAATACTTGCACCAAATAACATCTCACTTACTTTAATCCTACCTGTAGTCCTTTACGTACAAGTTTTGGAAACGATTCATTAGTTCAAATGGAAATGCAGGAGATTTGAAAAAGAAAGAATATATATATTTACATAGAGAGAGAGAGGCATTCATTTCTTCACCCCAACTCGTCTGACTTGGTGCCCTTGGTTGCTTCCATCGCTAACAAATCTAATACTCGACTCTCATTTTCTCAAGGACGTTTATATGTAAAAAAATATATATATGTCGATTCTTATTTAGCACCGCATATGGAAACAATGAACAGAGAACTTCAAGAACGAATGAAAGCCATGCGTGAGGGCAATTCGAATGGATTGAAACCGGCATCCCGTCGTAAGTTGAATGATTCATGGAATGTCTCACAAATCTCATCCAGCGGTGATCCGGCCGCAGAAATTGCCCGACTAGCCAACAAATTTGGCACTGCACAGGTCCGTTAGATGATATCCTCTCAGTCCACCTACTATGCACTCTTCGCATAACTTGCCTGTACGTTCTTTTATGCTAATGCATTATTTGAGTGGAAACTCAATAATTCATTTCCTGTTTGTTTTAATTCCTAGGAAATTTGAGCGCGCGTTTTGGTTAAACTTAAAACGGTCGTGGAGTTCACCGTCCTCTTTTCTTTGTTATTTGATTGATTGATAAATTTTCTCCTTTTCTTTTTCTTCATATCTGTAAAATCTCAAAATGACAAGCAATAGTACTACAAGTTCCACTTGAATTTGAACATGGTATTTTTCTAGACTATGTGAAATATCTATTTACCTCTCTAACGCTTACATCTCCTCCCTCTCTTAATCCATAGACTAGTACGCCCTCTTTCTCTCTGTCTTCCCCC